TAAGCTCCGGTTACTTCCAGGGAGAAAGCTGCCACAACAAAGCCATTGAATTCCGTATTGATGGCACCCTCGTTGCTCCCTCCGACTACCGGAAATTTAAATCGGCTAGTAACGTCTGGATTAAGTTTGAGAAAGTGACCGGAGTTTCAATCTCCGGTGGAATGTTRGATGGTSAAGGCGCAGGTCTATGGRCTTGCAAAGCCTCATCTGGTTCTTGTCCTACCGGTGCAACCGTAAGTTTCATTCCCATATTTAACATAATCRTAAATGGTCYCATATTTAAATAAGATCTTTAATTAATCAACGGTTGCTGCAGACATTAGGGTTCTACGACTCAAGGAACATCGTCATCGGCGGACTAACCTCAATAAACAGTCAAAAGTTCCACATCGTGATGGATGGTTGCCAAAATGTCAACCTCCAAGGGATCACGATATCGGCAGCGGGAAACAGCCCCAACACCGACGGCATACACATCGAATCCTCTTCCGGCGTCACCGTTCTCAACTCTCGTATCGCCACCGGAGATGATTGCATATCCATCGGTCCAGGTTCATCTAATCTGTGGATCGAAGGCATCAGCTGTGGACCCGGCCATGGTATCAGTATCGGCAGCCTGGGGTGGACGGCACAGGAGGCCGGAGTTCAGAACGTGACGGTGACGAGGGCGATGTTTAAGGCGACGGAGAATGGGGTTAGGATCAAGACGTGGGCTAGGGAAAGTAATGGGTTCGTAAGCGGAGTTGTGTTCGAACATCTGACGATGATGGCGGTTGAAAATCCGGTGATCATCGATCAGCAGTATTGTCCCGGCGAGAGTGGTTGCCCGCAGGCGGTGTCGGGAGTGAGGATATCGGACGTTAGATACGACGATATCCATGGAACGTCGGYGACGGAGGTGGGGTTGAAACTGGATTGCAGCAAGGAGCATCCATGCAGTGGGATAAAAATTGAAGATGTGAATTTGAGTTATAACAATCGACCAGCCCAAGCTTCCTGCATCAATGCGGTTGGAGCCGCCAGTGTTGGTGCTGCCGTCGTCCACCACAGTACCACCACCTCCACCTCCTGCTTTCCATAAGATCAGTAATCCATGAATTATGAATCAATATTAAACCTGCCATCGGCATTGTTGCCATTGCCATGCAAGACTATAGCTATATATGTTTTATGGATTTTGAACTTGAATTAATTTGGGTGTACTTGATCACAATATATATATATATATATATATATTCTTAATTTGTAACTTATATTTCTTTTATAATATGACCTTAAATTTGCATCTATGCATCATAATCTTGAGTGTCTAATTCATTTACACAATTTTGTCTCGGTTGATTTTTTTTTATTTGTTTGGGTTTGAGAAAATCTTTTCCAGTTATTAGTTTTATGAAGCATTTTACGGTACGCATAGATCATATATTTAATTATGTTTATCAGTTAGTTATTAATTACAGTTTTTAAAAAGTTCAAATATATTGATAAGTTTGTAGGTATGTAATAATAATTTCTAAATGTTGAATAATATAATAAAAATGTATATCGATATGAATATTAAATTAAATAGAAGATAATAATCATTTTTCATATAATTTGTTTGATTTAAAAATTAAATATTTAATTGTTTTGATATAACATAATTTTTTTAAAACTCACATAAAAACTATGGTTTTCAAAAACTTTTGTTCATATGGTAAAGATAATAAAATAAATTTTAATCTTATGTTTTCGTGTTTTATTAATCACATTATAAAATGGCATTTAAGATGATGTTACAAGGGTTTGATATAATTATCACATGAGGAACTTTGGAAATCGAATGGGACAAGAAAAAGGTGAAAATAGCTCCCACGCTTCGAATCAACTATTTAGGGTTTTTGACTATTTCTCTCGTACTTTATTCGTTCAAATATTTTTAAATTCAAACCGTTTGTTTTTTCTTATTTTCAGACCTTTTTAACTCTTAAAACCATATGGAAAAAAAAAAGTTGTAGTCTCACCCCTTAATTCCTCTTATTCCCGTACACCCACATCCAAGTTCACCCGCCTCCAGTCGATCTCTAAATCATTCCAATCAATCGATCTCGACCCAAATCAAAATGAAAACCAATCGATCTCCCCTCCAGTTTCTGTTTGGATTTCGTGGATCTCCCCTCTAGTTTCCGTGTTGATTCATCCTTGTGGTTCGACCATTCTGCGTTATGGGATGATCAATGATTCAAACCCTTTTGAGGTTGTCATGTTCATTTTGGTTGATAATGGAGTTTCATGTATTCCAGGTTTTGTTACAGTTCCTTCTTTTTACTTCATATGTATAAGTCATTTCTATCCTTGATTTTGTTGTCTTTAATCTTTATCTAGTATGCAATTCGATTAAGTTCTGTTGTTTGAGTACATTGGTTTGATCTTCGTTGTTAAAGCCATGAAATTTTGCTGCCAGTTTATTTGCATCAAGGGTTTTGCTCTACCCCTTTGTATTTCAGCACCACCTCTTATAAATCAGAAATGAAATCAGACTTAAGCACCTCTTAAAAAACAAACGTCTATGTTTTTGGAACCTTTTGAGGTGAAGATTTGTTGTTTTGTAATTTTTAAAAGATTAGAGCGTTGGATCTCACCTAGGATCGGAGCCAAGATTTTTGATGAGAGTAGTCCTCTTGTTTCAATTTTTTTGCGCAAGATCACCAATTACCTTTAGACTATGTCAATTTTCCTAGAAATGGTATATCCCGACTATGATATAATGTGAAGATATGTGAAACCTCCTTAAATCTTTTTCAAAAAAGTTTGTAGACGGGATACGTAAAAGCAACTCAATGTAATGTTAATAAAACGATTTTATAATTCCATATAACATAAGTGTAAATAAATCCAACTCAACTCAACCCAACCCAATCTGTACGGGTTGGTCGGGTTGATACTTTGCTACATTAAAATATTCTTCTGACCTTGAATATGTTATTTTTCTACTTATAATTTTTTTTCATCATCAAATATTTGATACAATTTGTCCATATTTTTTACGTATATCACATTCAGTTAATTTTCTAAATTTACATATATATGTTCACATTTACTGAACATATAAACGAATGAGTTATATAGAGATATTAATAGATTGAAAATATGTGTATATGAAGAGTGTACGTGATAGTGTAACTGTCTAATATATGTATTAATAGAAATTCAACGATCATATTAAATTCAAAAAATAAAAGAATATCGGGTTCATCGGGTTGGGTTTGGTTCAAATAATAACAACCCAATACCTACAGTTTGAAAATTTTACAACTCGATTAGACATCGGGTTGCTTCGTGTTGAGTTATTTCGCGTTGGGTTGGTCGGGTTTTTAAGCACCCTTAGCCTAGGCCGAGGCCATGGTTGGCTCTGCAAGCGATCTCACAGTCACCTCTTCTCAACTTCTCATCCATCCTCCTCATGACTTGATCCAATTTTGAGTTATGTCTTGGGGTTTTTGGGAGCAAGAGAAGTCTTGTACCCGATGGGGTTGAGTCCCTATTTTAGAGTTTCAGTTTGGAAAGGTAAGTTCTTTGACTCTTTTGAGCAATATTTTGGGGGAATATTTGTGAAACTGAAGCTTATGTCGGTATTTGGCTTATTTCTAGCTTTCAAATGTGGTTGGTATGATTGTTGGAGAAAGTTGGCTAATGTAGCTCTTTTGGAAGTTAAAGATTTGGGTTTGAAGTCTAGGTTTAATTTAACCTAGAAAGGTGATCAGGTGGGTTCAAGTTCTTGTGCATGTCAAAAATGTCCATATTATGGATCTTACTTGATATTTATCAAATGTTTTTTTGTTTTCAAGTATATAATATTTATATACGGTAAATGCAACAAATAAACTCATACACCTCCCACCTTTTGTGAGGTTTGAACCCCTCACCTCCTAAAAGGCCAAGGACTACGATACTTTTAGTCCAAAGGCCCTATGATGAGATTTGCATTTATCATCCATTTGATTTATAAATCTTGTAAAATGTCTACATTTGGGTTTTTGGGCATTTCGATAAATAAATCATGAGAGTGGATTCTTTTGATGATTTATTTTATAAATGGAGCCTCTTTGATGATAATGCATTTTAGTGTATTTGAGTTGGAAAATAATTTGTCCCAACCAATGATGGGTTTTTAAGTTAGATCTCTCTTTGGTTGATCAATGTTTGATATTCTGAATCCTCGTTAGTAATGGAATCAAAATCACGAATAGGCTTATTTATTGGACATTTGCATTTTTATTTATATGTTGACTTTTTATTTTTAAGTTTAACTTAACCTAGCAAGGTGAGTAATTGAGTTTAGTTGATTTGTAAAAACTTTATACATGGCAAAAATGTCCATATTCTGCAGTGTTAATATAATGTCTTACTTTATATTTATCAAATGTTTCATTTATTTGATGAAATTTGCATTTATAATACATTTGATTTTATAAATTTTGTAAAATATCTACATTTGGGTTTTTGGCATTTCGATTAAAAAAACATAAGAGTGGGTTCTTTTGAGGATAAATTTTATAAATGACGCATATTTGTTGATAACGTATTTTAGTATATTTAGGTTAGAAAATACATATTATTATATTATGGGACATTTTTTATAAGGCACAATTTCAATTGGAAAATGGTCCGTGTCAACCAATGATGAGTTTTTGAGTTAGTTATATTTTTGGAACATGATTATACTTATTTATTGAACATTTGCATTTTTATTTCTTATGTTGACTTTTGTTTATAAGTCAAATGAGTAGTTGAATATTTTGCTTGGCTTGGTTTGACTCAGATGAGTTTTAATTTGTTCAGTTTAAACTTTGAAATGTGACATGCACTATGAAATATTTATTTAAAATTACATGTTTTGAGTGCATTGGTCATTCAATTGAAATCATATAATTTAGATTGTAATGTGGGAGGGGTTATTCGTCTTCCTAGTCTTCGACACACGAAAAGAATAGGCATAAACATCGGTTTGTTGGTTTTAAAATGGGATCATTATCGTTGTAATATAGCTAGAAATATTTAGGATCAATGGAGAACTTAAGGTACAAAATATAGGTTGTTGAACTTGGTGACCACTGATATGTGTTGAGAATTTAACACATAAAACACTTGTTTTACGTCTTATTTGTTAGAATAGTTTTTTTTCATTCCCACTTTGAGTCATTTTTATTTATTTCTTTATACATTTGTTATTATGAAGTTAAATATTGTGGTTGACTTGTTGGTACTCTTGGATGAAGCTAATGGGAAGTTTTTGTGAAAGCAGCAGGATGCTACAGCATTGGTGCAGCGTCGATCTGATGAATGTGCAGCTTTTTGGAGGGCTTAATGGTTAAGACGCTGCCTTTTTGTACTAGTGGAAGACAGCTGTAAAAGCTGAGTTTTTGGTTAAAAATCTGTAGTTAAGACTTTGGTTAGGCTAATGTACTTTTAGTTACTTTGTTGTTACTTTGTAACCTAATTTTGGATGCTTAGCCCTTAAGTATTTTAATTTTTGTCTTATAATGCCCCATTTGAGTATAAAAGGAGGGCTTGGGATTCCATTTTCACCATCCATTGTATCCATCTAAACACTCTCTAATGTTAAAAATCAACCCTCTTCAAGGGTGATTTTTAGTAATTTCTTGAGTTCTTCATCTTTTTCTACTTTAATATTTTCGTCTTTTATTTTCCGCTCTTTATTTTACGTTCCTTTACGATTATTGTCATTTACATTCCATTATTTAATTTCCGCAATTTACATTCCCGTTATTTATATTCTCGTTATTTATTTTCTCGTCATTTTATTTTACGCAATTTACGTTTATGTCTTTACTTTCCGTCATTTATTTTTCTTGTACTTTACTTTCCGTTATGAGTAACTAAGCTTTTATAGTTTGGGTGTGAGACAGAAAGGTGAGATTTTCAAACCAAACGAAAGTAGCTAAGTGTTTTCGTAAACGACATTCCATTGTTTCATTCGAGTTTTTATAAAAACTAAGCACACTTCTTGGCGGGTTGATCACTTTGAAAGTATTAAAGTGTCATGGACTTAGAGATAAGCCATCAATAAGCACGTCAACT